ATGTATCAACGTATCACATGCATGTATCAACGTATCACATGTATGTATCAATGTATCACATGTATAGAATAAATATAGAATAAAAATATATCATATCCAACATGATGCAGCAAAAGCAAATGTGGATTTTGTTATAAGGGTTAATAAACATCTCAGTTTGATCTTTTCTGATGCTTTGGCTCTGACAGGGTTAATATTCACAATCTTTGCACCCACACAGATGAGGGCTGCTATTTAAGGGGGATGACAACTTTAAAGTGCACATGGTGGGAACTACTAGGAAATGTTGTTGTGTGTCTGTGTGTGGGGTCAAACTGTGGGCTAAACACAAATAGCCCTACATTTAAATCAGCGTGTGAAGGTTTGTATGCAGTGCAGGGGCAGCATTCAGCTCATTAAATATACTCTGAGCTATAAATATGTGAGGGGGAGGGAATACATCAGTGCTCCTTCCCACAGGACCTATTGTCCTGTAGTACAATAGGTCCCACAGGACAGGATTTTCCTTCTGTGTCATTTAGTCAAATTGAAATTTTGTATTGTTGCAATGGAAAATCAGGATTTGTGGTTTGAAAATGTTTATCTAACTTAACATGTCAGATAAATTTGTCCTTAAGTTAATATTGACTTCAAGTCAAAGGTTTAATTAAATTAGAGTCATATTTCATATTTCCAGTCTGTATGTATGCTCTAGAAATGAGAAACAAATGAAGACCACAGCTCAGAGAGGTCAGTATCATCCACTTCCTGATCGTCCAGCAGCACTGAAGCAGAGCGAGTAGAGCTTGGGTGATGCTGCGTTTTGCAGTGGATGCAGATTTTAAGATAAAAAGATTCAATACACTGACCTCTGTCACTGCTGGCAGCAACGATCCCAGAAAACTCCTGTGACAATGCTTCAGGCTTCATTAAGTTTTGCACCTTAACAGCCTGACGACTACAACCTTCTCTAAGCTTCTCAGCTACTCTGGATTACATTCAAACCAAGTACACAGCCTGTTTAAATTCAATTAACACTGAGGTCTCGGTTTGTCCTCCAGTCAAAATCAGAGAACAGAAACACTTCTGTCCATATTATTTGTCTATGTTTGCACCTGCAGTTACCTTTTACCATTTTAGTAATCTTACAGGTTCACTGCAACATCACACTGTGCACCATCAGTCTTAGTCATGTAACCTGTCTGATGGTTGTACCTGATGCTGCAGAGACACGTGGCTGTTGTGCTATTTCTTTCAAAACTATGTCCTCTTTGGGTTGGACAAGGAGGACACGGGCCAACAACAGGACAGCTGGAGGACACAAACAAAGCTTCTGCTGTTACAGCTCAAATATTCTGCCCCACGTTTTACACACACCGGCAACAGGTGGTGCTGCCCCTATCGTCCAATCCTGTTAGCATAAGTGGACGCATGGACGGAGGACGGTCTGGCACGAACTCTCGCGCCTGACTCCACTCACTGTGTGCTTAGCTGTGATGCTGCAGGTGGTGCTGAGAGCCACACTGGAATCAATGATGACATCATTTGAATTCATTTGATTTCCTGCATAATGAATTTTTTTGTGTTAAAAATAAGACAACAGATGTCCCAATATAAAGTCACCTGACGGTGCAACAGCTGACAAACCAATTTTCACTTGGTGCTATTTTCTATTTTCTAGGAGCCACTTTAGCACAGCTTTAAAAACAAGTGTTTAAAAAGTGAGCCGTCTGATGTAAATTCCAGGGTAAGTTCATAAAGGATGCATCTACAGGAAAATCTTGCTAGATAAAAAAGAAAATGTGAAAAGAACAAAGAAGACTGCTGAATAGGACATCAAAAAGACGAGTAATTAAAGCGCTGTTGTGAATGTTTAATATTAATTCACTGTCACGTTAAAAGCCACAGTTGCCTCAAAGCAAACTGAGTTCATTATGAGTATTTAATAAAGAAAAAACAACATGTTTAAAATGCAAATCACACCAGGGCTGCGTGGTTTCAGTACGAGGACATGACTGAACATCTGTGTTCAGGCTGGCAGTCAGAGGACATGCTGCACAGCAAAACGCCACAACTGGAGGTGAACTTCAGATGTTTTTGGCAGGGCTGCACCAGAAAACCCAGCGGCCCCTTTGAACAGCTACTGCTGTTGTTTTTTCTGCTAAATTAGCACGATGAGTGGCATCTCGTCTAAGAGCGATTTGCATATTCTGTTGAGTAACACTGTTGCTTAAATGGATGCTGTTTATACCTGCACGCTCAGAGAAGTGGATTACAAAAAGACATTTGACCTTTTTTCCACGGGAGATACGAGCGTCCAAACAACAAAGACGGCCGTTACAAAACTCCGACTGTTTCTTCGAGTGTTCACGCAGCTATGAAATACGCTGTTCTGGCTCTTGTTTGATGTCTGGGGTGATAATGAACTTGTTTGTTTGTGCACACATGCTACCCAGGGAACAGCAGAATCATGAATCTTTCATGGTTTAAGCGCGAGTGCTCGGATGTTTGGAACACCATAGGTGTCAGAGATCTGAGATGAATGTACACCAAAAGATTGGACACAGCCTTTCAGGTTATTGTTAAACTATAACAAGAGTAGGGAAGCAGTGGGCGAGGGGATGTTGAAGGGGGCAGCCGCTTCCAACGTGGCCCCGGGCTGACAGCCTGACAATGCAACACAAATAACACAACGCTCAACAGCTTCATTTGGATGAGACCACTCAGTCCCACAGTGGGGGGGAGCCAGCTGTGGGGTCAGCAAGCAAATGCATGTAAGAGCATATAAACAGGTTTGCCCTGTATTTCTGCTGACGCACGTGTCCAGTGTCTACTCGTCTGAATCCAGTGCAGCTGTTCTCAGTGATGTGGTACTGGTGACAGCACGGGACATGTTTTAGGACAGCCACTGACCTTTTGTGTTAAAAAGACGGGACTTCCTGCAGTTGTAAACCACTTCCTGTTGGCACTGTTCCGACCCAGATACGATGGCACGTAGTTGTTCGGCCGAAGCGCTGTAGTTGAAGATCATGACGTGAGGTTTCTGAAGGGATGAGGTCTGAACTGTGACCGGAGCTGTGCTGTTGTGGGACAGCACGGTCCACACCTTCTTCTCTGCAAGAAAAATGTTCCCGCGTTACTGTGACACCAACATCAGCACCTCCTGCACCAAGATACATGCTGTAGTTTGGGAGCATTTCAAGTTGCTATACATCAACACAACTGTTATATCCCAAATGTTAATAATGTGCATGCATGAAGTCCGTAGTAACTACATAAATTGCAAAAAAGTAGAATAAACTACAAAAAAATCGTATAGAAAATCATTTTTGGTTTTTTTTTACAAATATTTCTAGTTAGAGGTTCATCACCCGAAACTGAAAATAGAAAAAAGTTGCACAAAATAGTTTCCAACCACAGGAAATTTATTTTGAGTGTCTTCATAGTTTTATTTTTGAGATTCACCAATTTTTATATACTGCAGGAAAAACAAAAATAAATATTCTAATGCAAATTTGCAAAAAACCAGCATGTGCATCAAAATTAACTGTTTCCAGTGTTATTTGAGTTCTAAGCATCCCAGAAACTATTCACAAAGGCATAAACTCTGACATGAATTTTAAAAACACCAGCATATCTTTGTAAATGCCCTATAGGAAAAAACTACCGCGTTTCAGGACGGTAATGGCGGACATGCGATAATTCGCGCTGATGTCTGTTCCCAGTAGGAAGTGTTATGAACAGCTGATCGGATCTGCTCCATCCTCCCTGTTCTGGTATTTTAAAGAGTATTTAGTAGAAATATTAAGCAACCTAACTAATAGAGTTGCAAACTCCCAGCAAAAAAAAAAAGGGAACCACCCACCCCCCACCTCATGATGCTTAATCAACGTAATCAACTATAATTTGATGCAGTGTGAAAAAAAATGCACATAAATCAATTATTTTTTTCAAGAATAATTAAATAGATTCAACATCTTTCTTCAACAGAACTGCAGACTGCACAGATGGTACCTTCCCAAAGGAAAAAGTACTATAGCTTACTAGGGTATATTAGACTTAACAGTTACTATATACAGTAATGGACCTTGGGTGTAAGATTCAGATAATTATTTATTAAAAGCTGACATTTTAAATGAGAATAAGAAAGAAAAGTATGTCTTTGTGCCCCCTTTTCCCTGTTCATGCCCTATCGGCCCCCCTGGCTAAACTTTGCTAGATCCGCCCCTGCACAGTTACGTCAGCTGTAGAAAAAGATCCTGGTGTAGAAAGTAATATTAAATAAATTCTAACAACAGCTTATCAAGCTTAAACGTGCTGCTGTTGTTCAGCCGCTGGTTTCCTCTTTCTGGCGCGAAAGTGGGCCAAAAACAAAAAGAGAGACGGACTCGCGACAGAAAAGCCGATCAGCTGATCATTGATCAGTTTCACGATTGAAGTAGCAGCAGGAGAGAGAGAGGGCAGTCGCTCCATATATCGGTTGTTAAGCTTAACGCGGGAATGCTTTACAAACATTCAGAGATGAACTTACACACTTGCTTTACTTCTCTCTGGGAAAACTTCCTCGGAGATGAAATGCTGGTTTGGTAGCGAGGCTACAAATACACACAGTCTCTCTATCACGTGACCACACTGCTGCGACGTGCTACAGTTATGAGCTGAGTTACGCCGTGTGGCAAGTTTTGTGAGGTGCTTTTTTGATATTTAATGGATCGGATTACATTTTTTATTTCTCTCCGATATCCGATCCAGTAATTTAGGTCAGTATCGGACCGATACGTAATATCGGATCGGTCCATCTCTACTTCACACCCTACACTTTGAAAAAGAACCTGATTTTATTCGTATCCACATACGAACACAGAATATTTTGGATAAAATCAGACGGCTGTGTCCTACTTCATGATTCTTCTCATCAGGTTGGCAGGCTTACAGTTATTTACATCTCTAATGGATTCCTTAATTGAGGTCAAGTTGAGACATATTTGCTGCAGAACGACTGAGATTTTCAAGGAGACGACTGAAAAAACAAACCCTGGACGAGAGCAGCAGAGAACACCACGTTCGTTCTGTAATGTCATCACTGCTACATTAACCTTGCAGGGACGAAGCAGCTGGGAAAGTTGTGACAGCGCGGTGACGAGCACGGCCTCCAGAGTGTCAAAACTCAATATGTTTTGTCCTATATGTCATGCAGACTGTGGATCAGCTCGTGTCCCTCTGCCTGTCTGTCAAAAGTCACATCTCAGGTGACACAGAGCATATTGTGTTTGTGCCATCAAAAGCTCTTTCTGGCTCCCAAATCACAACACCCACACTGGTGACATCAGTCTGCTCCCACAGCTCCCAAACACCAACACTAACCCTCTCCCAAACGCAGCCTGGTGCCACGCGATCACTGTCGATATCTGTGCTGCCGACAGCGACATTCGTAATTATTTTATCGACTCCTCTGCCTCGACGTAACTTTCCTCGTTTCTCCACGAGCAACAGATAACTGCCGAGATTTCAGAAATCAATGGGCAAATTTCTGTGAAAATGAATGTGGATATTCCTGTTTGCAGCACGGCGAGTGCTGCAGACGTGACTTTGAGCTGGGATCAGGTCAAAACCAAAACTTTTACCCAAGAAATGTGCAGATTTATGCATTCCTTCAAACGACTTAACAGTTTAAACGTTTTCATGGCACCATGACTCGCCCTGCATCCAAAACATCCAGAATTACTGTCATGAAATGCACTGTGCAGGGGATTAACCCTTGTTGACGTTAATGACCCCGAGCCTCTGGAGGCCACTGGGAGGGGGCTCAAGATCTCTAAGCCTGTCAAGTTGTAATCTTTTTTTAATATATTTTTAACTGGCTTTATTGGATGGATACAGGGAAGCGAGAGGGGAAGACATGCGGTAAAGGGCCACGGGTCGGACTCGACCCCAGCCGGTCGCCCGCTCATCCGACTGAACTAACCCGGTGCCAAGTTGTAATCTTTTTGATTTGAGAAGCAACAAATCCCACATTTCTGCTCTCAGCCATACTTGAGTGGACAAGATGACCTTTTAATTGAAGCATCATTCATGAAGACACCATGAAAACCTTTCCCTCTGATTAAAGATCGAGGCAACAAAAGGCAGCATGCTGCATATACATAAAGAACCAAAAGATTGGAAACAAATGAAAGATTAAATCTGTGTTTAACACACACCGAACATGCATTTAAAAACCCTCAGGAGGTCGCCTAGACTGCTGCTGGCTCTGGATCAATGCAGGCTAATCTATAAGCCAGTGCACTCTTTACTCTGAGCTTTCTCTGTGTTCTCGGGTGATGTTGAATGGAGTAAAAGGTGACAACACGAGGTCTACAATGATCTCACCTGTCATGTTGCAGTATACCTGTGTGGGCCCCAAAGGACCACTCCCATCTGGATCAATGAAGTAGAAGCCCGATGAGCTGCCACTCAGCTTGTAGGCCTCACAGGAAGACTCGTAAATGGCTGCAAGATGCAGAGTGGGACAGAAATCAGTCAGTCGTCCAAGAATCAGCCCACGCTCTAACGGCTCTCGATTGGATGAGTCATGAATACACAAAACCTATCTAAATGTATGAACTCTGTGCTGTATTATAGAAGTGAACGATGTCCATGCTTTGGCTTTTTTCTTTATGCTAATTATGGCACCAACATCCTGAACCAGTGTCCTCCACACAAACCGATTCACGTCAAGGAACATCTTAAACATCTTCACAGAGATACACACTAACAGAGGCCTTTGTTTGTGGCAGTGACTGTCATTTTAATGGGATGAAAGGACAGCAAACAAACGTTACTGCCTGCTGCTGGCTTCATAATAACTTCTATTATTTGATGAAAATAATTAAGTCAAGTCAGCCTATTTGTACGCCATGTTTTTCAAAAATAGAAGTCAATGTAACAAACTGAGATAAATGGCAGAGACATCACAAAGCATCCAAATACAGAAAAGCAAAAAAACTCAAGGAGAACAATTAAAACTACATGACAGCACAGTCCTTTGTGAGCTCCTCTAGATACCACAGGATCTGCTTTCAAGAGCCAGATGAGGCGAAAGACTAACATGACAGCACGAACCTTTAGTTTAGACCCACGGCAGGATGATGCCCCCGAGTGCCTGAAGAACCAGAACACCAGCGACATAGTAGCTCATCCTGTTCATGCTCCATCATAACTCACAGGTTACTACCTCTAAAACAACAGACATGACCTCTATGGGCTCAGACTGTGCTCATAAATATTTTGCACTTGTAAATCAGACGGTGTAGCTGTGAAATGAATTTTGTAACCTTGTGTGTTCGTAAAAAATATTCACAAATGTTATTTTTTGGACCGTAAGGCGCACTGGATTATAAGCCCGGCTACACGAAACAAAACAGTCAGAGTCTTGCTTCCTCCACTTCCGTACCATTGATTCATTAATGCTGAATTCTCTCACAGCGGCTCTATTCCCGTGTTGTTGCAGTATATAATAATAATAATAATAATGGATTGCATTTATATAGTGCTTTTCAGGGCCCTCAAAGTGCTTTACAATACCACTATTCATTCACACTGGTGGAGGCAGCTACTGTTGTAGCCACAGCTGCCCTGGGGCAGACTGACAGAAGCGAGGCTGCCATATCACGCCATCGGCCCCTCTGACCATCACCAGTAGGCGGCAGGTGAAGTGTCTTGCCCAAGGACACAACGACCGAGACTGTCCGAGCCGGGGCTTGAATCGGCAACTTTCCGGTTACAAGACGAACTGTCACTTCTTTGAGCCACGATTAATGACTAACCTCGTATTGTGGATGGGTTATCTCAGTTGTTCTCCTGACTGAAGTTTGGTCCTTCTATAACATCCTGCCATGCGATTACATTTGTCTCTTTAACTTTTATCGAGTGGAAAAGTGTTAACGTTCATCCTCCAGCTTCAGTGTGTTTATGCTATGCTAACATAGCTATTTGCTAGCGATCACGTAGCACATCATTATATACCAGCTAGCCCAACTTCAGTAACCCTACAAACGTCACTGCTGTTTAGTTTCCTGTCTTCATTTATGTTGGAAGTGATAGCAGAGCTGTACGTTTGAATTTTTCAGAAATCTCTCAGTCAGAACATGCTATATCATGTTTAGGTGGAAGCTAGCGAGCTAACTTCCTGCTAACTTCTAACTCCGTTAAATGTAATAAATCCTGTTTTCATGGATGCCTGGATGTTAAACTTAATTGTTACACCTGGTAAAGCAGCAACGCTGATCATTTTATTACAGATGAAAGAATTTAGACAGTTTTTAACTCTCAGTGATGCTGCAGTGTTCGTTTGACTTTGGGACCTGAAGCAGAAGGTTTGACCAGATTAGCGTAATGCTCCACAATCCATCAAGCAGTGTTTTGACAGATTTTTGAGCGCTGTGTACACTAAAATATTCGAGTCAGTAAGCACAACCAGAATTCATACATAAGGCGCACTGGATTAAAGGCGCACTGTTGATTTTTGAGAAAAGTAAAGGACTTTAAGTGCGCCTTATATTGCGGAAAATACGGTAATCATGTTTTTGTTAGGGTGTGGTTACAAAGGAAAAGAACTCAGTAATTAGCTTTTACCCGGGTATTTTTGAAAACGCAGATTTTGCACCTTTCGTCCACACGTAAATGGCGTTTTCGGTCACTAAAAACGGAGATTTTTATTTGTATTTGTATTTATTTATTTATTGTCATTGTCAGAGAACAATGAAATTGCATTTGGGGCTTCCGTACAACCCGTAAATAAAATAATGAAGAAAATAATAAATACCCCTTAAAACCCAAGTGTAAATATTTAACCCAGTGTGACTCCAGTGCAATAAGACAATCCTTAGCAACAACATGAGAACATGACAAGTAAACATGAGAACCTGACAAGTAAGTTCAGTGCTATTAAGAAGTTGGATATGGTTATTGTCCGTGAGAGGGGGGCAGAGAGTTCAGGAGCCTCACAGCCTGTGGATACAGGCTGTTGGCCAGTCTGGATGTTCTGGCCTGTATAGACCTGTACCTTCTCCCTGAGGGCAGCAGGTGGAAAAGGTGGCGCGCAGGGTGATGTTGGTCCCGCAGGATACTGTGCACCCTCCTCAGACAGCGAGTGGGGAAGATATTACTGATCTCTGGCAGACTTGTTCCAATAATTCTGCCAGCTTCTTTCACCACCCGCTGGAGTGCTTGCTGATCGGCCTTGGTGCAGCTGGGGAACCACACTAGAAATCCATACGTCAGAACGCTGCTGATGGCACAGTTGTAGAAGTTCAACATCAGAGATCTGGGAATGTGTGCGCTCCGCAGTCTCCTCAGGTAGTAGAGGCGCTGTTGGGCTTTCCGTGCAACTGAGGTGATATGGTTGCCCCAGGACAGGTCCTCGGTCACAGTTACCCCCAAGAATTTAAAACTGCTCACCCTCTCCACCGCCTCACTGCCGATGAAGAGAGGCAGATGGTTGTTATGACCCTTCCTCCGGAAATCTACAATGATCTCCTTGGTCTTTTTGGTGTTTAAGACCAAGTTATTGTCGTGGCACCATGACTCTAGTTGTTGCACCTCTGTCCTGTAGTTTGTCTCATCGTTGTTGGATATAAGTCCGAGCACTGTGGTGTCATCGGCAAACTTAACAATGAGATTGGACGCGCAGGAGGAAATACAGTCATGGGTGAAGAGAGTGTATAGCAGAGGGCTCAGGACACACCCCTGAGGGGCACCGGTGTTGACCACAAGGGTGGAAGAGGTGTTCTTACCCACTCTGACACTCTGTCTGCGATTAGTGAGGAAGTCCACAATCCAGTTGCACAGAGAGGAGTTAAGTCCCAGTTGGTGGAGTTTGGGACGGAGTTTGTATGGCCGGATGGTATTAAAAGCCGAGCTGTAGTCTACAAAGAGGAGCCGTGCATAGGTGTTCCTGTGTTCCAAGTGCTTCAGTAATGTGTGCAGCACTATGGCGATCGCATCCTCGGTTGACCGGTTCTCCCTGTATGCAAACTGGTACGAGTCCAGGGATGGTGGAAAAGCAGCTCTGATGTGTTTAATGACCAGTCTCTCCAGGCATTTGGCGGGAATGGGGGTGAGTGCCACAGGTCTGAAATCGTTCAGACATGTGACATTTGACTGTTTTGGGATGGGAACGATGGTTGCTGCTTTGAAACAGGATGGTACCAGTGAACAGGACAACGAGGTGTTATATATAGAGGTGAAGACGTCCGCCAGGTCCGCAGCACAGTCTTTTAGCACCCGGCCCAGCACTCCATCTGGCCCGGCCGCCTTCCTGGTGTTAATGCTCCGGAACACACGCCTCAGCTCATGAGTGCTCAGGACTGGAGCAGGGTCGGTGTTCTCCCTATCAAAACGGGCATAAAAGAGATTTAAATCCTCAGCCAAAGTAGAACTGTCGGCTGAGGGTGATGGTGTTCTCCTTTTGTAGTCCGGGATAGCCCTGATGCCCTCCCAGACCTGCCTGTGTTGTTCTCAAACCTGGCCTCGATACGCCTCCTGTGCTGCTGCTTGGCAGTCTTGATACCTCTTCTCAGGTTGGCCCTGGTTGGCCCTGGCAGCACTGTATGCCTCCTGTGTCTTTAAAAACTCCGGCCAGGGTGGATATTTTCTAAAACTCCGTTTTTGCATTTACGTGTGGACGAGAAAAACGGAGAAAACGCAGCGTCAAAGATGTGCGCCTTTTTTGACGTCACAGTGTGCGCCACGTTATTGTTTCGGTGAAATGAATTTCTACAATACTGTTACTGTTAATTCTACTCTCTGCACACAGTTACTGTCCCTCCACCCATACGACTCGGTTCTGCTTCTGCGCCCCAGCTTTGTTTACTATTTCCCACCGAGGCTTCTAGACTTCTGATTGGCCAACATTTCTACACGGTTAGGAATATAGCGCCACCTGCTGCTTTGGCATGTTCCTAGCAGAGTTTTCCTTCATTTCTGCCTTTGCGTGTGAACGGGATTGTTTTTTAAAACGAAAACGGAAAATCTCAGCTTTCAAAAATACCCGTGTACGTGTGGACGTAGCCTTAGAAAGACACAATTTCTCATCTATAGATGCACAAACATAAATCAGTTCACAGCTACACAGTCTGATTGAAACTGACCTGGAGAACACTTTGGCCAAAGACTCACATACACACACAAACACTGCAGGAGGATCAGTGAATCTGTGGATTGTGGAAGGAAAGATGACAAATACCTCATCAGTCCTTTGGCCACATAAGTCTCAGGTTTACTAATGAATGTTTCCAGCCACTGCATCTGTCAAAGCTAACAAGTCTCAGTTATGATGCTAGTGCCAGCCAGTATAACCAGGATGGTAAAGGTGCTGTCCAGTGGAGTGTTTTCTAAAACCACCCAGAGGGCAAAATGAGACCTTTTTGTCACAGTCATGCAGTTTGAACTCAGCACGAGAAGTGTGTGTGTGTGTTCCTGTCTAGCTATCTTTGTGAGGACCAAAATCTGCATTCTACTATACTTGTGAGAACCGACAGTCACTTGTGAGGACACACTCACGGTCCTCACAAGTTTGAAGCATTTTTGAGGCTCAAAATGTGGTTTTAGTGTCAGGCTAGGGAAACCGTAACGTCAATGAAGGTCCTCACTAAGATAGCTGAATGGGCTTGTGTGTGTGTGTGCAAACTCCAGAGATGAACCAGACATTTCTGAATCTCATTGAATCTGCTGAGTGTTTTCAGACTCTGTCAGGTTTCAGGTTTTGAGTCCAGACAGAAAAGTTGATTTCACGTGTTTACGGGGAAGTTGATGAAAGGCCCTATTTTTAATTCAGCAGATGATCTTATCTGCCATGTTCTCTCCATCAGCCAAACACGACTGTGTTTGCCTGCATATAAACAAGATATCAGTATTCTGGGGCAGGGGAATTTCACACATACTTTCCAACAGCCGTCTCCACAGCAAATATCAAGGCGATGTCATAAAATGACAGCCGTAAGGAAAAGCTCCTACATGTAGAGTCAGTCTAAAGTCAGCCAGTCTAACACTATTTAGGGTGTAGCGAAAAAAGATTCTCAGAATTTTGAAAGTGAGAATAGCAGCATCGGTTGTAAAGGTCTTGTCAAGTCGAAGCAGGACAGCTTTTTTTGCTCTGCACAGGTGAAGAAAGGTACGAGCGAGGCTGGCGGATGTGTGCCGAATCGAATGACACAACTCGGCAGACCGAGACTAAATGGGGCGGTGCGGCGGATGTAATGGCGGCTTTGAGAGGAGGTGAAGAAATGAAAGTGAGACAAAGTGCTCACAGTTGTGACATGTCGCTCCAGCATAACCCGTCCCCGAGCAGTCACAGGAGAAAGAGCTCCACATCTGAGAACAGCGCGCTCCGTGCTCACACAGGTTAGGAAGGCATCTGCAAAGAAAGCACAGTTTAGGAATCCACTCATTTACTTAGTGATTGTACCTGATATATGGACATTTGAATCACTTTATTTCCACAGTTTGAACCTTTGATCCAGCACGACGACATTTCGATCCACTGTATGCTTGACTGTGTGTTGTTGGGGTGACTCTCTCGACTTTACATGAAGAGTCATAATGTGCACACACCGTTCACCAACAGCACCAGCGTTTCACAGTCTGGGGACTCATCAGCGTGTGCTGAACTTCAGACCATGCACATGAATGAACGGTGAGAAAATTTAAACTCTACTGTCTCAATTTATTCCTAATAATAAATAATGATTTTGTATGCTATGTTTAAATGAGCAAACATTTAAGTGGAGATATTATCTGAATGTCAGGAGCGGGATCTCATTCACACCCCTCCCAGCCTGAGGGAGGGGTGTGAATGCCTGCTGTTCCCCCCCTCCTCCTTTCATTCACTTCTCATTGGTACACGGGGATCGGCCCGGCCAGTCTCCTTCGAGGCCTTCCCCTGTACACGGTCCCTCATCCATCATCGCTCATCATAACTGAGCTCGTGAAATAAAACTTAAAGGAAGTTCTTCCTTCCCGCTGACACGAGTGCTTCCCCATCAGGGATCATCTATTGCTGCAGCTTTTCTCTCTAATATTGTATATAAAGCACTTTGAGGTAACTGTTGTTGTAACTGGTGCTATAAGAAGATTTTAGCTTTACAGTCTGGAGCTCTAACCGCGGCGATCTTCATCCGTGGTATCTGCCATTCTGCCAGAACTGCAGTTCAGCTGTTTCTGATCCATGAATCTCTGTCTGAGGAACACTTAAACAAAACAGGACTGAGTTGTTCTGCAATGATGAACATCTGTCATTACAGTTAGTCACAAAGCAGAGAAGCAGAATACACTTCAAACCCCATCCATGCGTGTTTTCCTGCATTCTCCAGAGTCGGATTGGCGGTTCATCACACGACCGTGACACTTCAGTCATATTTCCACCTAAAGTCACCAATAAAGCTAAGATGATGGGACATCTATGGACAGTGTGTGATTGTCCAGTGAGGGACAGCTGTATGTGTATATATACACATCCAAGGAGAGGTTTGTCACAGACCTGACAGGCTTTTCAGTAATGACGCTTCTCAGGTTCATGAAGAAAGAACTGCTGCTGTTAGCGTCTGCATGCTATGTTAGCTCAAATGCTCTGCCACACAAAACCACACAGAGCTGAGCAGATCTGAGCATCTATGATTGGTCCTTCTCTTCAGACTGTAAGCAGCAATTTTAAAGTGAAGGACATGCAACATGCTAGCATGTCAGAAACAACACAGAACAAGTTATCTCATTGAAAAAGCTGCAGGCAGAGATGTTCTGTCTTTTGACTGCTTGTAATTAATTGATTATCAAAACGTTTGCTAATTAACTTTCCCGTCTGCTGACTAATTGAAAAATCTGTAGCTACCTCCTGATGTGCTGAGCTCTTTCAAGCTTTCAGAACAACTGAGGCTTTAGGAGCTGCTCAGGATGATAACACTTTACTTCCAACCACAAAGAAGGAAAAACAAACAAACCCACATAAATAGGCGGCTTCCAGGCATCTGCATTAGTGACTAACAGAAGCAGTTGTTTTGTTGGTGTTTACAAAGCCGATCTTTTATCCAGCAGGTAAGAAAGAGCCGTGCTCACGTTCCCCTTTATTCGCTCCTGTGCTGTCATGAACACCAGCTTTGAAGTCCCCCAAAAGACTCATTTGCTGTTGATTCATGTTGTGCAAAATAAAAATAAAAACAAGTGTGAACTGACGCTTTCTCACACTGCGCCCTTGTCTGAATTTGAGAAAGTGGAGCCGTGGCAGCGCTTCTCTAAAAATAAATGCATCTCTGTCACCTTCAGACAAGAATGCCCGTTAATAGGATTTCACCACAAAACGTGTTTCAGGGAAAATTTTAAACTGCACTCTTCTGATTAATAGTCCCGTCCTCGAGCCTCCTTCAGTTTCACATAATTGCCAGCCTTTCAAGCATGCATCTATAATTTCATGCACTTTTATCTCTCACCTATTAACTGCAGCAGCACAGGCCGGCCGCAACACGGATAAGGTTGCAGCCGTCGGTTTAATTACCGTCGGGCTATTTTCTGATGTTGTGTGCACGGTTGACCTTACAGGTCAAGAAATGACAGCAGCTGGCACACCCAGGTGCACACGAACAATAAAGTGAGTCACAGTGTAATTAGACCGAAAGCAAAGAAGCTTCAGTCTGAGTTCATTTCCTCGTATCGTCAAAGTAAAAGCTCAGAACAGAAACGAGGAAATCGTATGTTCACCTCCCTCATGTTTTCAAATGATTTTTATTAGCAGTTAATTTGCCATTTGGTCTCATTCACCCAGTAAATACATCCCAGGACCGAGCTCTCACCACACTGGTGAGAAATCAGATGTCACTGGTGAAGGTGGATCTCACTAACAAACATCCCACTCTGGTATCAAAGCAACTCGACGGCGTAAGCTAGCCCTGAAGTTTTTAAATGTTATAATAATAATAAACATAAGCCTGATAAATCAATCTTTTTCAGGAAGTAAATGGTTATTCAGTGCAAAATACGTAACCAAGCCAACACCAAAGCAAAGACAAACACAGTTAGCATGAAGATGAAGGAGTTCAAGCATAAAGACGGGAGTGCAGGCTGGCATGCTGTGAAGTGTGTGCACTGGATGATAACAGTGACTCTACACAGTGCAGCCCTCTGGCCCACACGGTACAATGTAAGCAGTGGTACTGCTGTATGTGTCATCATTTGAATAAGAACAGGGTCCAACCAAAAGCTGAAGGGTGTCCTGGCTCAGTTTTAGAGATGCACCAAATGTTGGCCTCTGCGATAAAGTGACAGCAGAGGCTGAATGAGGATCTGAGTGATTCAGGGTAGAGCTGCTGTTCCCTCAGTGATGGTTCAGGCTTCCTGTCAGGATGCCTTCTGGATGCATCTAAGCTGAGTAATTCGTCCATCCAAGAGGAGGCCCAGAACATGATGGAAATGTTTTTCACTTGGTTTGAGAACATCTCAGAGCCAGAGGCTGGGAGATGTTTGGACTACAGTGAGACTGCTGTCCCTGTGCCCAGCAGTAGAAATGGACGTATGGATGGCTGCTTAAAGAAAACAGAGGATGGCTGAACTCATCTTGAGGAGGGTGAGTTTGTACACCGCTGCAGTATCTGCACCAAAGTTTCAGCCATGTTTCATCAAAGACAGCCTGATGCTGTTTGTGTAATCCTATGGCAGTTTGCTTCTTGACTGACGCCCTTCAATAAATGAAATCACGTGGAAGAGCACCAAAGCATGCTCCTGGAGCTGCATCGCCTTCTTTATTCGGTCACTTCCTGCAGCGCGCCGTTCGCCTCACTGACACGGGAGACTGCCGTCACTCCTGTGTTTGCAAACGCTGGCTTAGACAGCAGACATGTGAAACTGAAGAAAAAGCAGTCTGCATGTTTACTTCAATCCTGTACATGATCCACATGAAGGTGCTCACAGGGCCCGCAGCTGTGCAGGGTAATGAGGGAGAGCACGGCACACAGGACAGTAGGGAGGCAGCTTGTTAGCATAGCCCTCTGCCAGGGAAGCTACTCGCCAGTTTTCTGTTGCACTTTAATTGGACGATCCTGTCAGTTTGTCTCTATAGGACAAGATGTCAGTGACATTCAGGCTGCGCTGCAGGCAGCACGCTGTCATCCACAAATTAACAGAGTGGGCATGGATGAGGCTGTGCTGCCATCTTGGATAATGTTTGACATTCAACAGTCACGTGTGCATGCTTTCAGCAGCTCTACGTCTGAGCCTTGTTCTTACTCAAACACATTCAGGATACTTTACCTGTCTTTTATATTGCACGTGTCGAACTGAAGCTCGTTATAATTCCCCAGCAGTCCTTGCTGTACATGACTGAGATTCATCAGCTGGCTGTTGATGAATATGAGCTGCATACAACCCTGGAACGCCGGAGCAAAGCCCTGGCAGTCTGGAGCAGTTGCAGGACAGCCTGGATGGAAATAACACACGATACAACCTTTAGCTTTTATTCCCAAGAAACATTCGGTTAGAGTGTAAAGGAGAACGTCTTAAGCTATGTTAATATTGGTGTGTAAATCCACGAACCTCCAAAGTAAAAGCTGCCTCTGGATTGCACTTGTTCCCAAAGTTCAATAGTGGAGGAGGGCTCGTTATCCACAGTCAGAGTGATCTGTAGGTTCCTGGCGTCGAGGCTCACAGAGTGCCACAGCCCATCGCTGACTCTCCTGCCTGATGAAGAACGGTTCAGTTTGGAAGTTTAGAAGACAACAATATTTATTTATTTTACTTTTGTTAAAAATAGACTTTTGAGAGCTGCCAGTAAATTTCCTGTGCACACACATGCTTGTTTTCACGGACACCACAGGAGCTGCAGAGCTCCCAGCCTCCTCCATCACTCGGAGCCTCCAAACAAAAAGCCTGCCTCCTCCGCCGTGTCACTCAGCGCATATTTTATCATTTAGATGAAGTGAATATGGAAATGTGGAGAAATTACTAACGTCAGCTTCTTCCTGGTTCTTTATTATTGTCAACAAATAACGTGGGTGCATTACCTCCACTAATGTGAAGTAAGCGCTGTACCGCAGTCAATCCTTCTCCATCCTTCACTTAAAGATGACACCAGCATCTCTGTTACAGCTGATCACCTACAGTCAGAAGGCTGCAGACATGTGAGCAAACACACTCACACGACTCTGCAGACCAACATCTGGAATATCTTCTGACATGTCAGTCAGATTCTTTGTTCCCTTGTTGCTGAGTCTGCTGATGATGACTGAGGAGGTTACTACAGCTGCCTGCACTGCCTAACCCAAACCTTTAACCTGTAAGCCACCAAGTGCTTCACCAAAGTAAAAGTGGCTGTGACAGATCATCACAAAGCTGCAGCCTTCAGGAGGGCTGACTGACCCACGCCTCTGTTCCACTCACACTCAGTCCAACAGTGCCCGTGACTTGCAGCAGATCCCTGCATCCCAGAAGAGTCTGAGGGCCGCGGGCAGTTTCTCTGTGTCATGGAATAAGCAGAGTTGCCACAGCAGACAACATTAATCTGAGTTTCCTTCCCTCCTTTCAGGTCAGAAATATAAATCTAACCATGTGTTTGCTGTCTCCTTGCTGCCCAGTCAGTTTGTGTGGCTGCTGCTCATCTTTTAAAGTGTTAGAGTGGCGAACGCTCACACTAAACATGGCCAAAGAGTCCCTGTATGTACAGCTATTAATCCCCGTGAGCTAAGAGTTGAGTCGAGGCAGCTTCTGTTTGTGTTTCATGTCAGCTGATATCCTCATGACGCTCTTATCGTTTTCACATCCGACCTGGGGCTGAGTGTGTTCCAGTGCTACAGCACCAGTGTTGTAGTCAGAGCCACCGTGGCGGCTCACAGCATCTCCTCAGCAGAATAAGGATCATAATCAGTGCAAGACGGAGGAGCTGGAGTCTGACAGCAGGACAAGACAGACTCTGAACAACTAAATGAGTCTGAGGACTTGCACAACAATGACCTGATACGCTGCAGGGACTATTAGATGGGTAGGAACAGCCGATCGCATTGACGCAAGCATTTGTTTCAACTGTAAAAACAGGTCAACTCTTATCCTGCCTCTAAAAAATATATTTGGATGTGATCACTGCTCCAAAGAGTCAGTGGCAGCCCCGTGTCCACACCAGTGTGTTCATGCAACATGTTGTGCGTCTCCTGACGAGAGTCTGATGGAGACTTCTTAACGAAATTCTTTTCACATTGAGGTCCCCGTCCACGCAGCTCCCACGTTATCAGGGCCCATTTTCATCCTGCCAATGCTCTTCTATCAGCTGAACGAGGACGCAGTGGAACAGTGATGTGACAGTGCGAATGAAACTGAAGGGAAAAGTTCAACTTTGGAGAAAAACGAAAGTCTGGAGTTTAATGATTACACTGAGAGTGATGCTGCTCGGTGTCTGAAATCGTTACACTGTTCCAGCAAAGTGGTGAGAATCTGTAGCTGGCTTTAATTAAAACCATGTTTCCATTTTATTTCTTAAGCTTCGGACGATCGCTGTGCCCGACGCTCACTCTGCATGCCGCGCTCACGTTTACACACCGGGCTCTCCCACACTACGGTCCAGGCATCACAGAGAAGATGTTCAGCTAACAGAGCATCACACATCATCTCCATATAGGAATGTCCTCCACCCTGCATCTGTGCTTGGTGCAGCATGTTCCCACAGGATGGGTTTCCACACATCAGAGACGAGGACCTGGGGATTGTCTCGCACTGCCTTTAATATGATAACGTTGTTTGCTGCGTATAGATGCTATGATACGCTATATCTAATTTCAGTTTGACCTCCAAAGGTGGACGAGAAAGACGAGGGATTCTGATGACGGTAACACGAACAATAAACAGATCCTTCCTTTATGGTAAATGTATTGTTTCTGCACGACTGCAAGACTCGAGGTCACGGGCTTCATAGGCTGCAGCTCTAAGGCTGATATGTCCTTGCGCAGATGTTTAATTTAATGCACCATGAGGCAAATTATATAAAAGGGAATACAGTCCCTGAGCTGTGGTTTTCTTCTCCATCTATATTTCCCTGCAGCCATCCAACTGCTGAGAGCCTGACTTCCCCCAAGCAATCTTACTTATCTCTGTTATTTTTGCTAAGGAATCCTATACAGATAATTAGATGATATTTTCCCTCAAGTC